AAGTGGTATCGGAGCGAGGAAGCAGGCTCGAATCCCCCGGGTGTCGCTGGGGGGGAGATTGTTGGTCTTATGGGGGACCATCGATCACGCTTAAGGATTCGCTACTGTGCTAGTCACGGTATCGGGTACTGACAGCCCAACCTGACGAGGTACACGACTCGTGTATCTTGCGAAGCCCCTCCTGTCCATCCACCGCTCAGTAGTGGGGCTCCGCACTGCCGTAGTGAACTATAGGGGGTGCCCTATAGGAATCTACCTTGGCTTGGGGCTACAGAGAGATGTGGTTAAATACAAAGTGTCCACCTTCCTATCACCAATTGGTTTTAGGAAGCATTTGGCACCTCTTTAACTTCAGAACTCTGTAGTTAAGCGTGCTGGAACGGGAGTAGTCCCAGGATGGGTGACCCACTGGGAAGTTCCAGAAAAACGATCCTACAGGCGCCTTGCACACAATACCTTGACAATCGATTGTCATGAGGTGTCAATCGATTTTCATGGCCTGCGGAACTTGGGAACAAAAACTGCACAGCATGACAATCGATTATCAATAGTGGTTAGTCGATTGTCGGCCAGTTTTGAACCCAGGTCTGCCATGTTGAATAAGTTGTGTTCATATGGAATCAAATATGGTTGTATGCGTTGAACATAACCTCATCAATGCATTTCATATCATCATGTATATCCTAGATGCATGTTTAGGATCATGGCATACTTTGCATACCGCGACAAGAGGTCAGGCCCAGTGCGCCTCTTCCGCGGGCCTGTTCCGGAATCTACGGGGTCCAGCGGGTTCACATATCGAGGGCTTGTGTACGTACATGGTAGCTAGGCTTTGCTATCACCCACATTTCTAGTCTCCAACGGGATGACTAAGGCGTTCCTCGGCTCATCTACCGCGTGGGGATGATCACCGAAGGGCAGGGGTGTCCCTGCATAGTCTAACCCATGCATCATGACTACTTGGCATCGCATCATTTTTATTAGTGTCTCTTGTTCGTTAAATTTGTAAGTGGTATCTCGCACTTTAGTACATGTACGATTATGTTTATATCAATGTGAATGTACTATGTGTTCTACTGTTAGATTACCACTCAGCTTATGCTGAGCGTATAGCGTTATTTTCTTTGCTAGGTAGAAAAGACCACGGAGCCTCACCCGAATGATTGGGTGATCGGGGCGGTGGATGAGCGACAGTGCAGCTGACTATTTACTTATTTAATCATGAAAAACGTTTTGGGCTTGAACCCACTTTTGTCGTATTTCATATTTAAGACTTAACGGTTTCAATCGCATTTACTTCCGCTACATGACATTATCTCTTACATTGAATTTATTTCCATCATTTAATAAAATATAACAATGGGGTTTTCTGTTACAAGCGGCACAAGGGTTTTCTTGTAGACGGCCTTAAAAACCGTCTACGTAACCTCTCCGGCTCGTTGGACCGCGGTGAACCAGGTTTGCGGTACGGAGGGTGTTACAATAGAATTAGAGGGGACAACTACTGTAACGCCCTGAAACCCGGCTTAGTGGTTAGTCGTTATTTTAATAGAAATGAATATATTATTTATTGACTTCAAAATATGAATTATTTGTAAAGTTGACCATTTTGATTAAAAATTAGGTTTCGGGTAGATCTCGTAAAATAGTGACCAACGATATATAGTTTGTTAAATTTGGACTTTCGTGTACAACGTAGTAAACAAAATTGATGTTACAGTTCAATAAATAAATATAAAGATTTTATAATATTAAATAATACTTCCTCCGTCCTATATCTTTCTTCCCGTTGCGCAAAACGAAGAAAAATCCCAAGTTTTTTTAATCTATTTTATTTAAATATTGGTATAGAAATAAAAAATAAAACATACATATTTAAAAACTACATCAAAAGTTCAACAAAAAAAGTGGTGACAAGAATATTTTATTTTATCATATAGGCCATGAAAAAACACAAATAAATATAAATTCCCGTAAAGTTGGAATAGTGTTCTGGGAAGAAAGTTTTAGGACGGAGGGAGTAATAAATTATTCCACGCCTATTCTTATGCCAAAACGGAAAAAAAACCCTCACCCAATTAAACTGTGTATATAATTTACTCCGTATATACTGCGCCTCGCATTCCAATCTGCATCAAGACTCTTCTTCTTCTCCATTGGCGACGAAACCAAGGGAGTTCATCGATCAAGCTGCGTGAGACGTCGCCGGGAAAGAGGACTTCGCCGGAGCTTCCGCCGGAATCTAGGTGGGGATTATTTGTGTTTTCTTCAGCAATTCCATTGAGGTGAGTGACTTATCTCTTGTTAAAATTGATTCTTAGATTAGGATTCATTGATATATCTTCACTCAATTGACGTTGAATCCGTAGATATGATTGTTGAATTATTGTAATTAGTTGTGTTTGAGATATGAATTTGGTTTGGTAATTGGATTTGTGATTTGGGGGTCGAATTTGCTGCTCTCTTCCCCGATCTGTTTCTCTCCGCTCAGTTCTGTTCTTCCGCTCTTCTATTCTTTCTCTTACTCTGTTCGGATATGCTTCGCCACCGGAAATTACCTCTGCTACTGCTGAGATGTGTTACCGCCGATGGACAGGAACTTGTCGACAGTCTCGAGTTCTGAAAGAAATATACACAGGACCACGACTTGGGCATTCCAATTCAGAGACTAAATTTATGTTTTCAAGTTTGGAATTTGGCCCCACATCTTTAAATTGTTTGCAATTGATTCTTCTTTATGCTTCACCTTAAAATTTACGGAGTAGTAGAAATCTCAAATCAATTCAAAATTACTTAGCTAATGAATTGTGATAATTAACTGTTGATTTGGAACCATGAAGTAGGCCGCCTAGTATATCAAAGCAATCTTACTTGAATCAAATATTAGAAATAAGCAATCGGATTGGTGTTAGGAATTAAGGCCACGCGGGTGACGGCGTGTATTGGTGGTCTCGAGGGTTAAAAACGTGCGCACGGTGGTCATTGACCCCTGGCGAGAGCCAGCGGGGGCCTCAACCCCCTCCATTGCGAGAGCTTTGGAGTTATGAGTGTGGGTTTGGGCGAGAGCCTGGATTCCATTACTCCCGTAAGTATGAATTGGATTATATCTAGCAGGCAGATGGAGTAAGTATGCGTAAGAACTAAACTGAACTTTAAGGATAAATAGTGGTACAATTGGATAATGGTATTTGCTGGTTCTTCTTGCATTGTTTGATTATATATTGACGGGTGCTAGTCTCTGAGTTAGTTTTAGCGTTAGATACTTCCACTCTCCCTATTTTTTTTTACAGGTGGGGATCAAGGATTTGATGAGTAGCAGCCTGGAGGACAGTGAAGCGTGATGCTGGTGGATGACCGAAGCTGTTTATTTAAATTAAATATTGAAACAACCTCGGAATCTCCTACTACATCTATTGTGATTCAAAACTACAAATGTTGCTAAGGGACTTTCAATCAAAGAAAGAATGTTGTTGACTAATGACATACAATCGAGATTTGTGAATAAACGAAATAATGTACAAATATGTCTAGTATGATCCCAAATACGATGTTATACCTTGCAAAGGAACTTAAGTTATGGTTGTTGAATCTGAGCGGGAACCTACGAAATGGATTGTTGGATGTCTTCCCTATTAATCTCTTGGAGAAAGAACGAGTTTGATAACATCGACAGTTTGAGAATACGTATCCGTTTGGACAATGAGGTAATTATGGTTTAACCAAATGAACATGACACGGTCATGATAAAGGTGAGATCACTACGAAATGTTAAACGTTGACCATTAGAAGAATTTCGAGGACGAAATTTCTTTAAGGGGGGGAGAAATGTAACGCCCCGAAACATACCCTAGAATTATTATTAAATAATTATTCGATTAAACAAATTTGTTTTGATTATTATTGGGCTTTGGGCCGATAT